CATGTATCATATGTTTAACAATATGATAGTGTTTGTATTGGTTGAAAGGTGACAGCTTGAGATGAACATTTTTCACCTATTATTTCGTGAGATGACTATCACGTTGGATGATGTGTATGTGATCTTTCACTTACCCGTCAATAGGCGATAATAAACTATTAAGCATTGATATTTGGTGATGTGAATGTGATGCTAGTGCGGTTACCTAAAGTGTTTAAGGCTTAGACCGTTAATGAGATAAAAGTTTATTGTGATCCATCTATTAGGTTATAGTGGTTGTGAAATATATTTAAAGATGTTACTAATAGAGCTTTTACAAGAGAATGGAGTGTGCTAGCATGGCTTTTTAACTTTATCTTTTAGGGTGTATACTATTTGTTGACAATAGTGGAGATAAATTGTTAGTAGTGTACTTAACCTTTTTTAGCAACTCAAGTACCATCGAGTCATATGCTTAAAGACAGCTTGCCTAATATATTCATATAAGCAGCTTAGTTTGACATTCATCAAATAGTTGATTGTATTATGTTTTTTTAGGTATGTGTATTAAAATATATATATGATTTTGTGGATTAGTTATGTTAGTTTGTTTTATTGAAATGAACATATGAATGATGATGCTTAATGTATTTGAAGTATACATGGATTTATGAGCACTTTCCTACATTAGGTATAATAGTTAACATGACATATTCTAATGTTGAACTTTATTCTTAGCGATGCAAGTTCCATATGTGTGTGATCCATTACAGCGATTACAAAAGCCATTGGATGGCTTACTCCCATATCAAGTGTGTTGAAACCCTTATGTGAGGCAATGACAACAGCACTTATTACAGAAGATTTTTTTTTGGGTGTATGAAGTATGGGTCTATTGTAGAGCCATATCATCCGAAAAAGTTTCTATAATAGTTCACTTTTGTACAAACTATTTCTCTAACTTCTCTGACACCTCTTGAGGTTCATCCTTCACCACGTATATTGTTGCCTACAACTTTTTGAATTGATATTATGAGAGATGGGATATGTATGTCCTATCTACTAAGCATCAAGGGCGATGATGTTAGACACTGAGCAAGTGTTCACTAGATTATGATGCATAATGCATCAATTTCACATTAGCATGTTAAAAATTTGAAATGTAGATCCAAATTTTAGTGTCAACCAATTGATAGTAGGCCTATCAGTGATACTGTAAGTCATGATTTTATTAGTTTTTGTTAATGTAATATTAATTAAAATATGTTTTCAATATTAATTAACTTGTTAATGTTTTACAGCCGAGCTTGATGGCATTGTCTGTCCTTCATGATGCTTTATCTCGTGAATTAGATTAATGAGTCAATTTATGAAAATGAGCAGTTATTAAAGCACATACCATATTTTTTAGGTCGTCAACTATAGCTAGTAGTAGTTAGTCTAGGCCAGTTGCATTAGCATCGACCTCCGACATTGCCTCATTCCCCACCCTTAGCATTGACGAGACCACTAACCAAGCACCACTCCCAACAACACCACTCGCACCTACTTGTTTCCCACCCATAGCAGCACTAGCTTCAACATCCCAATCTCTGTCACTAGCTCAATCTCCACCTTAATGTGTTTATTTGCAAAACAAGAGGATAAGGGAATTGGACTAGTATATACAAGTTCATGTCTGTATGACATATATATTTGTACATAATTTGTGTGTGACTTTGAAATATTATTATTATTTTTTTGTATATTTGTACAACTTGTTATATATGTACGTGTTAAATGCATATGTTTTTTTATCATATAACATATACACGTAACCTCTTATCTATGTAACTTCTCGTATGTGACAAATATACAAAAAATTTAAAAGAATTCATATATACATGTAACCTCTCATCTGTATAACTTCTCGTATATGACAAACATACAAAAGAATTAAAAAAAAATCCAATAATTTAACAATTTCAAATGTAACATAAAGTTTTGGAACTTAGTTATAATGTTTAGGGTCTAAGATTTAGGGTTTACAATTTATGAGTTTAAGGTTTAGAATATAGGGTTTAGGGCTTCGAAATAAAAAGTTTATAAGCCTTCTAAATTTGCAATTTTAGTTTAAATATATTCTAGAAATTTATGTTCAAAACTTTTTATATATGAATTTTTGATTTTTTTTTTACTTTTTCGAAAATACATACTCAAAAGAATATATAACTTTTCAAATATACATTTTAAAAATGTTTTTAAAATTTTTGGATATGCATTTTTTTTGTTTGATTTTTGAAAAAAGAAAAAAAAAGATTTTTTTTTTAACAATTACACCGAGTTAGGTTAAAGGTGTTTGAGTTTGGATTAATTTAGTATATCATCCACTTTGACCGACTGAGCCTCATGGTTTTCCTTGAAAGAAGCTTGACAAGGTTGGTTCCTGGTCTCTTCATATGTGCCAAAGTCTTTTTATAAACTCTGCTTTGAAATGGGCATGAAAAGACAATTGCACATCAAGGAAAGTATCACAGATAGGAACAAATAACAAAATCTATAACTGCTCTTATACCTTGAAAGGTGTTAAGTGACTTCTATAGATTGAAGATTGCTGCTTTTGAGCAATTCAAAATATTTTTTAAATAATAATTTTTTATAAATTCTACCCCAGCATTAGAAAATTTATAAAATACGAAACAATAATAATGATGTTAATTTTGTAATAGAGAAAAATATTTTAAAATAAATTTTAAAATATTTAACTTAAATAAAAAAATATCCTGTAATCAAAATTATAAGATTACGTATATTTAAATGATATTGTTCTTTGAATAGACGAGATGAAAGTGTTAATACTTTTTTTACTTGTAATCATACTCTTAGACCTAGTTTTAATTTCGTAAACTTAAATTTTTTTTAGTAAATTTTAATTAATTTTAAAATTTTTTACTAAAAGATGATATTTTGAATAATCAATTACATCTTATAAAAATATTGATGATGATTTCAAAAATTTTTATCAAATTTAACGATCGAGTCTTTGAATGAAAAATCATTATGACACTATCAAAGGAAAATAACCGACTAAACAAATATAACAGTAACCCATTGCAAGAGCAAAACAGGTAATGACGATTGATTGGTTATGCAATTTAGTGAACTTCAAATAGTGAGAAAATGGTTTATGACTACAAAATGAAACATGATGTTACAACATGCACTTCAGATGAAATATCTTTCACATGGAACCTCAATTTCCGACGTCAATAGTTAAGAATTTGACAGCTAAAATAGTCTTTAACAGGGAAAAAGAAGCTTCCTAAGTACATTTAAGTACAATAAATGCATGTACATGTGGTATGCATGCATGCACAAAATAAAAATAAAAAAAAAAAGAAAACGAAAGCTCAAGTGAAGAAAACGAAAATGAACATTAAATCATCTTCTTCAGTGCCCATTAAAGCTAACAACAATCTCAACCTTGGCCTTAATCCATATGATTGGAATCTGAAAAGCATTGAAAATTCTTTAAAGAATAAAGAAGCTACATCCAACAATATCGCTGCCAATTTTTTATGCTTCTCACCCATAATATCTGGCTAACTAGTCCTCTATTCATTAACTTATTCACATTTATAAAAATAACCACTCTTAAAAGATTTGGCTCCTCTCCGGTTCGTGGACTCGAGGTGCGAGTCTATCACAATTTTAAAAAAATATTGAACAATTGTTCCATAGAATCCACGAGGACCACAAGAACCAACACCATACTTCTCCAACGCAGAGGTACATGATTGCCGAGATAACACATTATAATATTGTAAAAAAAAAGGTGATTTGTTTCAAATAATTATAAATTCATTTATAAATTAATAAAAAATTATGCATGTGAGGTTTTGGATTTTTTTTTTTTTGTGATTTAAACGACGGAGACAGAAATTTTAAAAATTATTGGATATATGAATTCAAAAATTTTTAAAAGTTTTAAAATTTACAAATTTAAAGATTTAAAAATTTTTTTTTTGATATACAGATCCGAAAAGCTTAAAAATAAAATTTTTTTGAAAAGAAATAATTAAATAATTTTATTTAAAAAGGAAAAAAAAGTAAGATTTGTCTTTTTTTTCTTCTTCTTTTGGTGAAAGAAAATGAAATTACACAAATGGCCCTCCTAATTTGACTATAACATCCAAAATATCCCAAAAAAATTGAAAATTATTTCCATCTATTATCTCTTGTTAAAAAAAAAAATTATTATGGCATTGACAATGGTTGATTACAGGGTCTTGTTTAAAAAATTGTTATTTCCTCTCAAAATGTTTAAAAAATATTTTAATTACTTAAATAAATTTTTTACAGTGATACCAAACATTAAAAAATTTTCATTACATTGTTTTCAATTTAAACTTTTTTTACTCATAAGAGATATTGTTCGGTTGAAAAAAACTCGATTTGAAGAAAATACGTTTGAAAAATGTTAGAAAAAATTAAAACATTTTAAAAAAATATTATGTTGTAAAGTAAAGAATAGATTATTTTTAGTATTATTCAAGTAAATTAATATTAAGATATATAATAAAAATAAATTTGAAATACTTTTGAAATAATTAAACAACATTAAATGATTGAAGTAAAATTTCTCAAATTGTTTCCAAAATAATTTTAATGCATGATTTTAACATAAATTCAAATTTGCCCTAAATTCCAATAGTGGGGTGTTTTGGGTATTTTACCCCAAACCATAAATTTCAAACACCAATTGTCCCTTTTTGAAATTGATTGATTTTGAACGATCAAAAAATATTTTTAATCGTATAATGCTTGTCCAATAATTCCTGCTATTCACAAATTTATGCCCGTTCAAAATCAATATTAAGAATATTAAGCATATTTTTTAATATTAATTAAAAAATCTTTTATATTTTTTATAAATCATAGATTCTCTTGTACAGCCATACACTCAATATTTGATAATATTGGCCGATAATTAGGTTGATTTGTTGATGGAATGTTGCACTCTGAATTTCAAATAACTCGATTCAAATCTTGATAGCCTCAAATATAAAATTAATTGATAATATTGGTTAATTGCTACCTGAAATGGGAAAAACTAACAAATAACGAAATTTACACAAGTTTGTGGTTTTCAACATTTTATAAGAATTGTTGAATGTTTGTTCATAGAACACAATATACAGTTATTTATGGAACATGAAGAAACCTTTACCCAATGATGCTACCAAGCAATGCAGGAAGGTATACTTTTCGTTTGTGTGGAGAATGAATCCGTGATATACGGCGAAGGACTAGTAACCTAGCCACGCAGACGGTATTGGTTGAAACTTGTTCTTTGCCATTGCCAGTAAATCACAGTAATCTGCATGATTGAAGCAGTCGCGAAAATCTGTGAAAAGCTTCTCAAACACCCTCCATTGGACTTTAATTGATCTAGAGTATGGGAATGGAAGAAAAACCTGCAGAAGATGAACAAGGCATCAGAAAAAATAGCACACCTGCATATCGATTTTAAAATATTGGGAAGCTGATGAATTTCAAACAGATTGTTACTTTCGAGAGATCTTTTAACCCAAACTGCATAACTCATATCGTCATCATACTTATCCCTCCACTCTTTTCCGCAGTTATTTCTTAGTGACATACGAACAATACAGCCTTATGAAGTAAAAAATGCAAGTTTGGTGCCATGAATGGGTCAACTTCTTGTTGCCATTCATGCATGTGCAAATGCACACAAACACACATCATATATATAGGCAAATGGGTTATGTATGGCAAGTGGGAACTTACGTCTCCCTCCAGAGCAAGGCGTTTAAGTAAAAGAAATGTATGCTGATTTTCCTCCAAATTGTCAAGAACTGCCAACCAAATCTGTGAAGCAAGCTCATGGGCGACGTCTCTTGATTCACCACAAGCAATAAATTGATCTGCTAAAACAGAGGAAAATGAGGAGGTACTGATGGACTCATGTAATTGTCATTTCAGAAAGAATAGACTGGTACTAGCTACAATCATTAATATGATTATACAAGATGCAAAAGATCATAAAGTCTAAAACAAAAATTGCAGTTACAAAGTCGGATTATCAGATACCAGAAACTTGAATATTTTAATAGATTTTAAGAAGAAACACTTTTAATGTACCTCATCAACCCACCAACATCACAGGAGAGATAGACATTCAAGATGCATCTATCATGAATACATGGTACAACATTTTTCTTAACATTTTGGTTACCATGAAAAGGAAAGGGATTAAGCATCGCAACAAAAGCATCATCAAGTAATAAGGCAAGCTAAATAATTATTAGAACAGTTAAAATGGTACATGAATCATCAATAGGAAAGAAATGCAAATCACCCTCCACCTTTATACGAGTAATTAGACATCAATTAATTGAAACTTTAAAACTTGTTGGCACAAAAACCAGAAAAGGATAGAAGCCGCACCAATTATGGTTCCATGGAGTATCCCAGAAGGAGGTGGCATGGTTGAAAGTTCAAGCTGCTCTTTCAAAAATAAATATGTATGGCCCACAATCTCATCCATCTCATTATCTAGCGCAAAGATGTGTTTACTAACATATAAAGCAGCAAATCTCCTGAACATTAGGTAATAATCAAGTCAAATTTAACAACTAGGGTGAGAAGGAAGCATTTATTAAATAATGTAAGAAATGACTGATTATAATGTGATTAGACTACAAAAAATGATCTTGTGATTCAAAAGAAGATCATAGGAGCACAAATAATTTAACCTTGAATGTTTACAAAGAGATCATCCTCTTTGATAGCCAAATTATTTAAATTCATCTCCAAAACAGTTATAATAAAGATAATCTTCTAGAAAGAAAATAAATCTTTTAAACCAATCACATAGTGCACTAATTTCTATTTGATGAAAAAAAATTCAAAGCAATATCAGCTGATTGATATCTTTTGCTCACAGCTTCCAACTTAAACAGAAAATGAAGAATGAAGACAGTAGTTACTCAAAAGGAATCCAATACAAGAACCATGTAGTCAGCTCAATATGTGTTTACATCGGGATCTCACTTGCTACAAGTGATAGACTGCTTTTATCTTTCTGTATAGCTTCTGAAATCCTTTGCAAAACATAAGATCAAGGAAAAGAAAGGCTGCCATGTTCCTGGGTTAAAAAAGGAACCCTACTGCACGTGTTAAACTGCATTTTTTTAATTGCTCTAAATTGTTATGAACTCAATCACTTGAAGTGAATAGCAGAGGTTTATGAAAGACATCAAGGAATAGACACTAGGTCTAAACCATAATTCTGAATCTTGAAGTTAAATTGCAGAAATAGTATATTCCTAAGAAGACAGCCAATTGCCTACAACAATTTGGACAACTCACTAAGCTTTGTTAAGTATAAACCAGAAATTAGGAAAAATTAAGTTTCAATGAACAATCACCTTATATGTAGAACAGGAGTGCAAGGAATACTAAACTTAGTTCAGAAGGAAGAGGGGGATAAGAGGAGGAGGGAAAATAAAGAGGGAAGATGAAAATGGAGAAGGAAAAAAATTAAGCATGAAAAAAGTGGCGTTACTAGTCCATTCAACCTTTTGCTTAGTCCTTGAGGAATAGGTCCAGGCCACCTTTTAGCATGGCAAGCCAAAGGAAATGTCCTCATTAGAGCTGCTTTCCACAAGCATTCTCCATGAAACAAGTTGGCCCACTGTTTTCTGACACAAGATATTTGTGCCCACTCTGAAACTGGCACTCTGATGAAAATTTCAATTAGGAGATGATCAGGAAGCTTTCCAAATAAATTATCAACTGATGTTAAAGTGTCATTATCCCTATTATCTGTCATTACAATTCTGCAAAGCAAAAGCAAACTCCCAGAGATTAATTTTCTGACAAGAAAAAGTAGGAACATGGACAGTAAATGAAATGGAATATTCTTCATGTTAAAATGCCCTAGATAAAATTACTGCTGAAAGTCAGAAGCCTGAAAAAACATTATTCTTAAGACAGGAGAATGAACATGATGGTTTAAGATTTTGATACCAAAGAAAGCAGAGCCCCCATGTTAATTTTAATAAAATCATGTTAAGGACATTTCCAGCAGAACTTAAAAATGAAAAAAAGAAGGTAATGAAATTAAAGATTAGGGAACAAAGATACTCAAAATCCTCCTAAACTGAACAAGATTAGATTATGAGAGCTTTACACCACCACCCAGTAAAAGAAAAAAGAAGTTACGTAGGCTAAAGATTCATTCAAAGTGTTTTATGGTAAAATTATCTACTATAAGCAATAAAAAACTTGACTAACCTTTTGTATCGTAACTACTAATTTAAAAAACCACCATAGTTGCATCTATACCAGCCCCCCCCCCCCCCCCCCCCAAAAAAAAAAAAAAATTACACCCTCAAGCAACAGTAGGAAGCACTATGATAAAAGTGCCACAGATTCTCAACCAACATCTCCAATTAGGATATCTTAACATAACCAAATCCATTATACCGAAACAGGCTCCACTTATCAGTAACCAAAATAGTCAACAAGCATGTTGCCTAAGTCAAGTCTAGTAATTCGATGCAAATCTAATTAATGTGTGAAATGTGTCCATTCTTTTTCTCATCACAATTGAAGGAATAATTAACACAAATATCATTCTCCATTCTGCTATGAATCTGACAATGAAGCAATGAAAAAGAAACCACATTGATGTCAATTCCATGAACATTACACCAGAAAACAACTAACATGGGAGGCAACTTATTTTCATATGAAATTCAGAGTAACTAAGAAGAAAGCAACATGGGATAAATGAGTGTATTATATATGAATCAACTGAACCAGAAATGAACCAATTTCATGAAGATAGAGACGGAACAAATTGATTAAAATATGACAAAGTTGTTTGATTTAAACCGTAAGAATTATGGTTAGAACAATGAAATATAAAATGAAAGTTGAAAAATGCAGAATTCAGAATTCCCATTAATTTAGGGTAGAAAACAACCTAACAAGAGCACGGTGACTGTGAGAACAAGATTAGATAATTTCCTTTTTGGCTGAGAATTTGCATCACTCAGATTTTATACAGTAAACAGAGAAATCAAATTCAAGCTGTCCTTCTATAAAATCACATCAATAAAACTGAAGAAATTACATCAATACTAAAAAAACAAACAAACATCATAAAACTGAAAACAAATTTGCTTGGTGGTCACCAATCCAAAACCACATATTACACTTTAATCTGACCAACAAAAACAAAAATGAAAGAAAGCTAAGAACTATAATTATTAAATGGAAGGAGAATGGGATACTAGCATTCAGTAAGAAGATTATTGAACCTAACAGTGCATAAAAATTAGACAGAATAGAAGAAGAATTGCATTGCATGAGAAATGGAAACAAAATACGACCTGGGTTTTTCTTGTTTTTCCCTTTTCTTGAAGTTCTCAGCTGGAAAAAGTTGAACTTTGTGAAAGAAAGACACAGTTGGCTGAGCTCAAAACCTCATATAAGAAAAATGTATGACGTGATCGTTTGAGGCCTTTATTTTTTTTATGTTCCAAAATGGCAACAAAGGTGTAAAATACTGTTTTATCATGAAACGGCGTCGTTTAAGAATAGAGGTTGACGTTGCTTTCCTTACCAGCAGGCATCCAAATAGTGCTTATAAATGCATTACTATTTTTGCATTTTACATCTTACCTTTTATTAAATTTTTTATAAGAAAATTTATTTAATTATTTTTTAAAAGTTTTTGGATATCTACATTTACTAAATATTATGAATTTATGACAATTTATTTTTGAGAAATTTATTTTCGTAATGTTATATAATTTACGAAAAAGGAATTTTCAAAAAATTATAAAACTTATTGAAAATCTATTTTCCAATGTGAAAAGTGAAAGTTTAAAAAATAAAAAAATTATATTAAAATTTTTTTATGAATTAGTATAATAAAAAAATTTATTGTTAGAAAAAACATAAATTTTAAAATTAATAAAAAAATTAATTTTGTTATTTTAATTTTAGAAAAAAATAAAATTTTATGAAACCCTACTTAATTAAAGATAAAATTGTAAATATAATTTTTTTATAAATTTAAAATTTATCATATTTAATAAATATTTTTCATGAATTTATTAAAATTTTATAATAACTTTAATTAAACTTAATTTTTTGAGAAATTCCTTCGTTTATTTATCATGATAAATTTTTTCAACATATTATATTTTAATAAAATTATGTAGTATTCGATAATAGTATTTATTCAACTTTAAAAAGTTTCAACTCTTATATATTGATCAGATTTGATAATTATTTCATCACTATTCATAATATTAAAAGATAAAATATTTAATTAAAGCCTTTTAAGATCTCATTCTTTCTTTAATATTAAACTAGTAAGATTATTTTTTTAATTAATTTTAAAATTTTAATTGTTTAATAATATTAAAATAAAAAAATATTTTTAAAAAATAAAAAATTAATTTTATTATTTAATATTAGAGAAAGAATAAAATTTTAAGAGACTTTAATTAAATATTTCATCTTTTAATAGTATAAATAGTGATGAAATAACTATAAAATCTGTTCAACATATAAAAGTTAAAATTTTTTAAAGTTTAATAAATAATATTATTAAATACTACATAATTTTATTAAAATTTAATATACTAATTAGAAAAATGATAAATATATTGTGATGAATAAATAAAGAAAATTTTCCAAAGAATTAAGTTTAGCTAAAGTTATTATAAAATATTAATAATCTATAAAATATATTTATTAAAAATGATAAATTTTAAATTTATAAAAAAAATTACATTTACAATTTTATCTTTAATTTAAGTAAGGTTTCATAATTTTTTTTAAGATCAAAATAATAAAATTAATTTTTTTCATTAATTCTAAAATTTATAATTTTTTTAATAATAGTTTTTTTTCATTATACTAATTTATACAAAAATTTAATATAGTTTTTTTTTTTTTTAAAATGTCATTTGATTTTTGATAATTTTTATAATTTTTTGTAAATTTATTTCCGTAGAGTTATATAAGATTTCTGGAATGGATTTTGAAAAAATTATAACATTGATTGGGTATTCATATCTGAAAAAACTTATAATAAAGGTATTTAAATAATTTCATTTAAAAAATTAAAAAAATATATATCATGGTGCATTTGGAAGCTTCAGCATCCAAATTTTCTAGCTCTCTGACTGTTCATCCGAAGATACCAGAAAAAGCCATGAATGTTGTCCGTACAAAAACAGCTTAACCAAACCCAGCTCGGAGGCATCAACTCTTTGTGTAACAAAGGTGAACTTCAACAAGATTCCAAATTTATGCAATTAGATTCTTCTTCTTACATGCAAATTCTGCAGCTTTGCATCAACTCTAAACCCAAAAGGCAAGCCCTTTTAGTTCACAGTCCAAATTATAAAAAATGGTTATTTTTCAATGGTCCATTAATCATTTTAATGCTAAATTTGGTGACATAATGGCTGCAAAGAAAGTGTTTGATAAAATGCCTGAAATTAACTGTTGTGTCATAGACAGCTATGATTTCAGAGTTTTCCCAAAATGGGTTTCTTGAAAATGCTCTGTTCGTGTTTTCGGAGATGCTGAAAGCGGGGTTTAAGGGTAATCAGTTTAGTTACGGGAGTGCATTGAAAGCCTGTACTGGTTTGAGGTATTCGGAAAGAGGGTTGCAAATTCAAGGGTGTGTTGAGAAAATAAGGTTTGTCCGGAACTTGTTTGTGCAGAGTGGGGTACTTGATTTGCACGCAAAGTGTGGAAACATGGAGATTCGAGTAGGTTGTTTTAAGGAATGGGAGAAAGGGATTTGGTTTCTTGGAATGTGATGATTGGTGGGTTTGCTTTTCAGGTATTTGCTGACGATGCATTTCAGTTGCTCCGAGAAATGATGAGAGAAGGTTGGCTTTCATTTGTTGTTTTTATGATAGCAAAATGCACTTGCTATGTGTTAATTTACCATTACCATGTTTTGTTTTGCTTATTTGGATTCTTTTTTGTCATAATATTAACCTTGATGCAGAAAACATTTTTAATGTTGAATAATTGGTCTAAAAGAAAAAGAGGCGCTGGGGGCACAAATTTAATTGGGAGAAATAACTGTAATGTATAATATAATCCTGGCTTAGATCAATAGGAACACTTGTTCGTTAAATATATCAAATTTATAGAAAAGTATGAAAGTTCCTATCCATATCTTAATAACTACTAAATCTTCTTCTCTCCATTAGTTTATTGTTGATATTATTCACAGTTCATCAATTTCCTTAATGACATTGTCTGATTTTGGCATCTCCTTGTTGCTTACTCTGTTTCCACTTTCAATTAACGTTAAAGAAATCACTCTGTTTCTGAAACGCTCTGCTTCAATAGTAAAGATCCCTGATTGCTTCACCTTGGCCAGTGTTTTGAGAGTCTTCTTTGGAGGTGGTTGTCTCATGAAGGTCAGCCAGGTGCATGGATTGATCACCTGACTAGGGCTTGAATCATATAATTTGTTGGCATTGTGCTTTAAGTTATATAGGAATATGCCAACAAAAGACATTATATCCTGCACGGCCTTGATAACTTGCTTTGCATGCGAAGACAAGCACAATAGAGATGCCTTGGATCTATTTAAAGGAATAAAATCAATGCAACTAAGAATGGATAATATGATATTGTGCACTATTCTTAATATATGTGCTAATGTAGCAGATTGATCTTGGGAAGGCAGATCCATGCTTTTTCTTTGAAATGTCAACCCAGTAATGATGTGGCAATGGGCACTGCTTAAATTGACATGTATGCAAAATCTGGGGAAATCAAAGATGCTAACAAGGTATTTAATGAAATGGATGAGAGAAATTTGATTTTGTTGACATCAATTATTGCTGGCTATGGAAAGCATGGATATGGACATGAGGCGATTGCATTATATGAGAAAATGGAGCATCAAGGGAAGAAGCCAAACAATGTAACTTTTTTGCCCCTTATCTTTGCTTGTAGCCATACCGGTTTGATTAACAAAGGGTCAGAATTATTTAATGCAATGGTTAACAAATACAAGATATTGCCCTGAGCTGAGCATCTTTCTTGTATGAGGGATCTCGTTAGGGTGGGCAATCCAACCCGACCCCGGCAGTTCCGACCCGACCCTATAGAGTCGGTTTTTTTTTTTTAAATCAGGTTTCGGGTCGGGTTTTAGACAAACTCAACCCAACCTGACCCAATATTATATAAAAATATTTTTTTAATTAATTTTTTATTTATATATATTTATATAATTATATATTTAAATATTTATATTTAAAAAAAATAATATTTTATATTTAAAAAGTAATATCGGGTCGGATCGGATTTGTGTATGAAAAAAAATTTTAAAAAAATTCGGACCGGGTTCGAGCTGAGTAAAAATCCGCCCCAACCCGTTGCCAACCCTATATCTCTTTGCATGTGGAGGCCAGTTAGAAGCTGCTTATAATCTGATGCATGAGATGAATATTGAACCCACCACATCAGTTTGGGGGTGCCATTCTTGGGGCTAGTAACATCTATGGCAAAACACCTTTTTAACCTGGATCCACAGAAGTTAGTTAATTACATTGCCTTAGCTGCCTTGTATGCGGGACCTGGTGCATGGGAAAAATGCTTGAGAGACACGTAAATTAATGGATGAAAGAACTGCTGTAAAGGATTCAGGATACAGCCTTCTGAGCTCTACAGAGAAGGAAATGGTGCTTTCTCAGCCATATTGAAATGATTATGTTATTATATTGTTCATGTGGGAGATGAAGCTATAGTTACAAATTATGTGAACTTTTCTCGACACTGAAATTTATGGCAAATGGTACAGAAGAGTTGGAGTATTGGTTTCGTTTATCGTCATACTACTGAAGGACGTCAATCTGGTTGATTAATGCCCTTCTGATGCTGCACGGCCTCTCAACATCATGGTAGTTTAACTGTAGCTTTATGCGCAGGTATTTTCTTCTCCACATTGGTTTAAACGAGTTTTAAGTATAGTGTGCTAATATATGTGCATGTAGATGTATGTTTATGCTATTAGCTATGTATATTGATAACTGTTTGGATGTATGAGCATATGATTGAGGTAGATTTGTCTATGGAAAATATCTACAGGCAAAGAGAATCTTTTTATCTTAAGGAGATAAAGGATGAGTATTGAGAGCATAAGCCTTTTATTAGATATCCTTTCTTAAGTTGATGGTTTTAAGTGAACACAGTGATCTACTGTTGAATCCTATGAAGTCCAAGGTTAACTTTGGTTGTCTGTGGGTCTAACTAGCCGTTCAATCAGTTACTGATTTTAGCCTTTTAGTGAACATTAGCTGTGGTCAATGATGAAAGTCAAATTGAAGGTTCTGACTGAAACTGGATGAAATGAAGGGTTCTATATTTTTGTAAAAGTGATGTTTTGTTTGTATATCCCCTCTGAGATGTCAAACATGCATCAGATTTTCACTTTCATTTATGCTATATAACTTCCCTTTTGGTT